AGCTGCGCCATGGATGCCCCAACGGGCGCGCGCGTGGCAAAAACCCCGGCACGTTTGCCCCCCCCCCTCCCCCCGTCCCTGAATCGGCACGAACGAGATGGGCACGGAAAGTATAGGGTACAGTGCCCAACAGCGGATCTTGTTCATTTTGAACAGGACTCGCTGTCCGCGCCGCCGCGGCCTGTGTACATTTGAAACAGAAGGCCGCCTGCCCAACAGCGGCCGCTGTTGGTTTGGGACAACATTTGTTGTTGGGCATTGTACCCATTCTTTCCGTGCCCATGTCGGGCGTCCAAGCTGAAGCCGCCCAGACAGCAAACTCCGGTAATTACGTTTGCCCCACCAGCGCGCGCAGTGCAATCCCTGACACGTTCGCCTCCCTCACCATCGCCTCGACGGCAAGCCCTGACACGTTCGTCTCCCTGCACGCGCCGACGGAGCCAACACGCCGCCCGCCCGTGCGCCCGCTAGGGCCAGCTCGCCCGACCCAATCCGCCCGTTATGGCAAGCGCGCCCTACCTCGATTTGCGTCACACTTTCAAGTCCCGCCCGCCCGCCGACCCGCCGCCCGCTCGCCGGTCAAGGCCCCGGCCGCCGCAAGATCCGCCCGCCTGTTAGGGTGCGCCCGCCCGACCCTACCCGGTCTTGAGGGTACGAGCGCGATACATCGAATGCTCAAATAGTGACATGCCTAGTCCGCCCGACACGCACGCCGCCCGTCGTCTGTTAGGGCCCCGCCAGCCGCCCGATTCGCTCGCCCGTCTCTGCCAGGGTCCGTCCGCCGGATCTGACCTGCACTTTAGGGCAAGCGCGTGCTACCTGGAGTTTTCGTCATGCTTTCATGTCCCGCCCGACAGAACCGCCGCCCGCCCGCCCACCAGATAGGACGCCGCCCGCCGCCCAACCTGCCCGCCCGTTAGGGTCCGCCCGCCCGACGCGACCCGCCCGTTAGGGCACGCTCGTGCTAGCTCCATTATTCCCGCCCGCCCGACGCGCCGCCCGACCCGCCCGCCGTTAAAGCGCCCGCACACGCAATGAAATGAACCGCCCCCTCGGTCAGCCATCAGAATAATGGGACATCTTGCGTGGTTGTTTTTGTTTAGTGTCCCGCCCGCCTGACCCGCTCGTGGAAGTAGCCTCGACAGCCCAAACCGCCCGCCAAGTGGACTTACCCCTGACCCTCGCCTGCGCAGCAAACCTCGATACGTTTGCCGCTACCACCGCGCGCATGGCCAACCCTGGCACGTTTGCCCCCTTACGCTTGTCCCTGTACTGCCCACCACGTTGGTGCCCCTGACGCACGCACGCCTACACAGCAAACCACGGCATGGATTGATCGACAGCCGCGGGCGTGAAAACCCTGGCACGTTTGCCCCCCCCTCCCCCAAAAGTCGCCCAGGCAACAAGCCCCGATACGTTTGTCCTAACAGCGCGCGCATTGCAATCACTGACACGGTTGGCCCCCCTACCATCGCCTTCACGGCAAGAACCGATACGCTCGCCAGGACTGCCGCGCTCAGAGCAAACCCGGGCACGTTTGCCCCCTGCAAACCTCGACACAGCGAACCCCAGACGCACTTGGGGAAGAAACAATCAACTGCGACGTCATACGCCTCGATATATTTCAAGGTCAACGCCCCCAATACATGTTGATGTCCCGCCCACCCGACCCGCCCGCCGTAATCGCGCCCATGCGCCATCTGAATTCCACCACGCGCTCGGACAACGAGATAAAACATGTGACAACCTACTAGCTCATTTTGTTATGTCCCGCCCGCTCGACCCGCTTGCGGGGATCAGTCTGGTTTGCCGAACCCGCTCGTCCGTTGAAATGCCCTGCCCACGGGACCTGCCAGGCGGGCTTCGCCCCGACTGTGCCGCCCGCCCAAGCCGCGCTGCACGTTCAATCTTGGAATTGAAACCTCAATATCGACTTTGAAACTCAAACATTCCAACAAATGAGTATTGAGTTTCAGAGTTGCAATTTTTCAATATTGCAATTCCGTTGTTACAAACTGAATGAGTGAGTTGGCGACTGCGGAATTCAATTCCACGGTTCAGAACTCCAATCTTGAAATTGAAGATTGAAGCGTTAACTTTTCAATTGCGCGGGCGGCCAGCCCCAGTTTAGTAGTGTTTTTTTCTGCCCCCGCATTTTCAGTTTTCTTGTTGAGACCCGACAGCGCCGAACACATGATTTCCAAGACGCCGAACTGAAAAAAAGGCTGACACAAACGCCCAAGGCAGATGCAAGATGAACCAAGCTGGAAGATCTGGAGGCCCCTGACGACAACAAAAAGGGAGTGAGAGAACGCACAGAAAGATCCATCCCCTCCTCCTCCTCCTCCTCCTCCTGCCTCACCCGCTCATCGGCTGCACGCAAGAGTGACCTTTCTGCACGGCGTTCGGAAGGCGCGGGCGGGTGGGAGAGGGGCGGTGGGCCCGTGCAGTCATCGTGCTATCGTGGGGAACGAAGGGGCTTCTCCAGCCACGTCGAGCCTCAGTCATGGGCTCCCCGACCTGGGTACAAGGAGCGGCCCGAAAACACCAGAGCCCCCCCATGATTTCGGTGTCTTGATCATGGCTGAGCTCACTGGTCGGGAGTCACCCAGCTCTGGGGTCATTAGAGCGCGTTTCTTTATGTTCGGCGATGACGGGCGTCATGGGCGTCATGGAGGGGGGGGGGCGACGGGAGGGGGTATGACGTAACGCCACCCCCCGCCGTGTGGCTCCGGCACCGCACGCGCGCCCGCGCGCGCGACGCGACGAGCGATGAACGACGAGCGACGACGACGACGACGACGACGACGACGCGACCACCATGTAGGTGGCGTGCACAACTGCGACGCGACACTGCGCCTGTGTACGCCACAACGCTCGCGTGCACAACAGCGCGCGTGTATACCACAACGCTTGCGTACATGCAACAACCGTGTGCAACGCAGCGCCTGTGTACATCACAGAGCTTGCGTACACTACAGCGCCGGTGTACATGTGTACACCGCAGCTACCATATGCAACACAACGCGTGTGTACACCACAATGTTTGTGTGCACCGCTGCGCACGTGCACGCCGCAGCGCGTGTCTACACCACAGCATCCGCGTGCAACGCAACGCTGGTGTACACCACAACGCCTGCGTGCATAGGACAGGTAGAAGGAGCATGTACGTGAGGATCTGCTGCGGACAGCTAGACGCCACGCCAGGAAATTGCTGATAATAGAATGCGACGTTCTTCCCTCCCCCCTCCTCCTTCACCTCCACCGCCTCCTCCTCCTCCTCCTCCTCCTCCTCCTCCTCCTCCTCCTCCTCTCCTCCTTACCCCCTGTCGTGCGGGTTGGCGCTACATCGCACGTGCGCATTTCAGCGCGCACCGCAGAATGGTCTGTTGAATCGGTCCACTTGGTTTTCGGGCGGCCAATTTAACTTGAGCCTCCTGGACACAGATGGAAGGAGTTCGGGTGATGCGGGCGAATTCGGGAGGACTCGTAGACTCGAGCGGCGCTCCGTTGTCCATAACGATTATTTTTCTGTTGTTTTTTGATGGAATCCACGATTCGTTCTAACATTCTATAGACAACAGTGGTGCTGTGTTGCACACGGTTGCTGTGGTGCAAACAGGCGCCGTGGTGTACACAGGCACTGCAATGCACGCAGGCATTGTGGTGTACACTGGTACTATGTTGCGCACGGCTGATATGGTGTACGCAAGCGCTGTGGTGTGCACAGGAGCTGTTGTGCCCGCAGGCACGGTGCCACAAGCTGACGCTTTGTCGCACGCGGCTGCTGTGGTGCACGTAGGCGGTGTGGTGCACACAAGCGCTGTGGTGCACGCGGGCCCTGTGGTGTACACAGGCGTTGTGGTGCAAATCGCCACCTACATGCTGGCGCTACCCGTCCTCCGTCATTCGTAGGCATTCCAAAACGCCGCCGGCGCGAAACGTGACGGCATCGACCCCCTCCACCCCCCCTTAGATGATTGCCGTCGTTGGCCCGGAATATATAACAAGCTTCAGCCGCGTCCGCGCGCACGACGACTATGAGCGACGAGCGACAAGCCACGAGCGACGACGACGACGACGACGACGACTGCGGACCAGACTCCTAGTCGGAATCCTACGCAGACGCCCACGCGAATCCCAATGCGCACGGCGGCAGTGCCCAGAGCGCACTGGGGGGGGGATCGTTGCGTCATAGGAGGGGGAGCGGGGGCCATGACGCCCGTCATGCCCCAAACAATAAAGAAACGGGCTCTAACATGTCTCCGGCGGCCGTTCGGGACGATCCGGGACCCCCCCCCCCCCAAGAACGCGCTCGGCGATGTGCAGCTGCTGGAGCACACCTCGAGGCTGGAGAACCGCCGAGAACCGCCGACAACGTCCAAACACAACGGAAAAAGTCTCCAGGACCCAGCTTCCCTCGCGGCCCCTTGCCAGAACATCCGGACCACCGCCGACGACCGACGGAAGCGCCCGAACTCTCAGCTCGCGCGTCGGGATCGTGGCTCCCAGCGGGCCAGAGTCCCGCGGCGCCAGGCGGGGCGTGCGAGGCGGGGATCTGTCGACGACCGCCGCCTGGCGATCGTTCCTCGGGCTCCTCGGCAGGCGGTGCACATGGATATTAGGCGGGGCCAACTACCCCGTAAACCATACCCACCCGTAAACCAACCCCACGAACCGCTGTTCGGGAACGTGTTCCCAATCTTTGGAATGCTATTTCCGCGCGAGAGTCTGCGTTTACCGTTCCATCCATCTGTCGACGTATCCAATACATATCCGATATGTATGTGTATCTGTATCATAAATAAGATACGCATGTACAGAAGTCGTAGTAGATGAGCGGGCCGAGCCCGTTCCCCCTGGTAGTTTAGGGTCTGAAAGGGGGCTAGATCTAGTCATGTCCACCGCCTGCCGAAGCCAGGCCGAAGATTGATCCACCAGGCTGTGGTCATCAAAACTTCCCCTCCTGGAGGACGCGGGCGCCGGGCGCGGCCCGCGGCCTCCGCGGGGTGCTGCCCCTCCACGGGCGGCTCGTGCCCGGGGTCCCACGCCGGGCGCCCCCTTGGTGGGCCGGGCGGGGAACCGGACGGCGACGTGCGTCGGCGGAGTCGACGGCTTGCGTCGACGGCGGGATTGCGGCGGCGGCGGGCGGCGGCGGCGGGCGGCGGCGGGCGACGCCGTGCGTGGGCGGCGGGCGGCGGCGGGATCGCGGACGACGGCGGCTATGGGGGGCAGAAGAGCCACCCTCGTGAGACGCACCCCGGCAAGCGGAGCCCTTTTCACGTGCACGCGCGTACAAGGAAGGAGTCGAACGCGCAAAAAGCCCTGGGGCTGCTGCGTCGACACCCAATCATGGGGGCCGGGGTGGCTTTTTGAAGGGTAGCGTTAAGTGGGGGGGGCTACTCCAGGGGGGGACATCGACATGGAATCGGCAATACATCGCCGACCCCCAATTGCGAATGCGCACGCTCCTGGACGGGGTGGGCTACCAAGCGCTACCAAGCCTCTCTCGGCGGTCAACGGGCGATTTGGGGTCCTTGCATCTACCACTGCGCCTCTTCCCCCTATCGCCCCTGTCGTTGTCCCCTGGTCTTTGGGTCGTAACCTGAAGTCGGGCGTGTCCCCCATACACGGGGATTTTCGACGAAAAATAAAACATACTCAATAAGTATTCCAAAACAGCGAAAAAATGCTCAACAAATGGTCCCCATACTATTTTTCTCCTATTTTTGAATATTCCTCCTGTAGAAGGACATGCCCGACTTAATCGTAACTCGGCTCCCCTGCGGCCGCTCGGGACGAGCCGGGCACCCCGAGACCGCCCTCGGCGAGGCGCAGCTGCCGGAGAGCACCCCGAGCCGAGGCTGGAAAACCGTCGAGAACCGACGGGGACGCATGAAAACCTCGACCGTCGAGCCTGGAACCTGTCCCCCCCCTGATGTTGCCCCCGATCTTTCCTCCCCGGAGCGAGGACAACGGCGGCGACGAGCGGTGACGCCTTTTTTTTGTGTTTTGTTTTTTCCCGGCGGAGCCGGGTGAAATTCCGTGCCCGCCGGCTGACTGATGACTGACTGAACGTCAGGGGACAGCTCGGGAGACACATTTCAAACCGCCCGCGGGAGCGCAACCCGGCGGCGGCAACCGCAACCCAACCGGGCGACACATTTCAAAGCGCCCGCGGGAACGCGCAACGCAACCGCAACCGCAACCGGGCGACACATTTTTCAAAGCGCCCGCGGGAGCGCGCAACCGCAACCGCAACCGGGCGACACATTTCAAAGCGCCCGCGGGAGCGCGCAACCGCAACCGCAACCGCAACCGGGCGACACATTTCAAAGCGCCCGCGGGCGCGCAACCGCAAACCGCAACCGGGCGACACATTTCAAAGCGCCCGCGGGAGCGCGCAACCGCAACCGCAACCGCGCAACCGCAACCGCAACCGGGCGACACATTTCAAAGCGCCCGCGGGCCGCAACCGCAACCGCAACCGGGCGACACATTTCAAAGCGCCCGCGGGCGCAACCGCAACCGCAACCGGGCGACACATTTCAAAGCGCCCGCGGGAGCGCGCAACCGCAACCGCAACCGGGCGACACATTTCAAAGCGCCCGCGGGAGCGCGCCGCGGGAGCGCCCGCAACCGCAACCGCAACCGCAACCGGGCGACACATTTCAAAGCGCCCGCGGCGCGCAACCGCAAACCGGGCGCGCCCGCGCGCAACCGCAACCGCAACCGGGCGACACATTTCAAAGCGCCCGCGCGCAACCGCAACCGCAAGCGCCCGCGCGCAACCGCAACCGCAACCGCAACCGGGCGACACATTTCAAAGCGCCCGCGGGAGCGCGCAACCGCAACCGCAACCGGGCGACACATTTCAAAGCGCCCGCGGGAGCGCGCAACCGCAACCGCAACCGCAACCGGGCGACACATTTCAAAGCGCCCGCGGGCGCGCAACCGCAACCGCAACCGGGCGACACATTTCAAAGCGCCCGCGGGAGCGCGCAACCGCAACCGCAACCGCAACCGGGCGACACATTTCAAAGCGCCCGCGGGCGCGCAACCGCAACCGCAACCGGGCGACACATTTCAAAGCGCCCGCGGGAGCGCGCAACCGCAACCGCAACCCGGCGACACATTTCAAAGCGCCCGCGGGAGCGCGCAACCGCAACCGCAACCGCAACCGGGCGACACATTTCAAAGCGCCGCGCGCAACCGGAGCGCGCAACCGCAACCGCAACCGCAACCGGGCGACACATTTCAAAGCGCCCGCGGGCGCGCAACCGCAACCGCAACCCGGCGACACATTTCAAAGCGCCCGCGGGAGCGCGCAACCGCAACCGCAACCGTAACCGGGCGACACATTTCAAAGCGCCCGCGGGCGCAACCGCAACCGCGACCATGCGACAAATTTCAACCCGCCCGCGGGAGGGCGCAACCGCAACCGCAACCGCAACCGGGCGACACATTTCAAAGCGCCCGCGCGCGCAACCGCAACCGCAAGCGGGCGACACATTTCACCCCGCCCGCGGGAGCGCGCAACCGCAACCGCAACCGCAACCGCAACCGCAACCGCAACCGGGCGACACATTTCAACCCGCCCGCGGGAGGGCGCAACCGCAACCGCAACCGGGCGACACATTTCAAAGCGCCCGCGGGAGGGCGCACCCGCAGGGTTTCAAGGGGGTCGATTGCGCGTGCACTTGTGCGTAAGCTGCCCGCGGAAGGTGGCGCGTAGGCGCCTTAATGCGGTCTGCCGCGCGAGCGGCTTGCGTGATCCACCGCGCAAGGTCGTCGCGCAATCGAGTGCAACCCCCCTTCTGATCGTTTCTCCCTGGGGGGTCAGGCGAGTGGAATTGCCTCAGCCACATCTCGGCCACGCTCGTGGGACTGCCCCCCGCAGGGTTTCAAGGGGGTCGATTGCGCGGGCACTCGCGCGCATGCCGCCCTCGTAAGGTCGCGCGTAGGCGCTGTTACGGTGACGCGGTCTGCCGCGCGAGCGGCCTGCGTGAGCCACCGCGCAAGGTCGTCGCGCATTCGAGTGCAACCCCCCTTCTGATCGTTTCTCCCGGGGGGGTTCAGGCGAGTGGAGTTGCCTCAGCCACATTTCGGCCACGCTCGTGGGACTGCCCCCCGCAGGGTTTCAAGGGGGTCGATTGGGGGCGGGGGACGACAAGGAGAAGAAGGAGGAGCCACTGGCGGAGGGCCCGACGACGAGCCCCCGCGTGGCCCGCGGTTCTCCGCCGGGACATTGCAGCGGGGAATCCCTATTCCACGCTGCTGCCCTTGATTTGTTTTTTCCCCACCGGACGAGCCACCAACATGATGCCTCCACTTGCCAGCACTGCACACCACTGCAGCCACACTGCGCCGCAGCGTGAGACGGAGGAGCGGATGGAGGGCGTCGGGATTGCTCGACACCGCGTGCTGCTCCGAGATGCTGACTCCAACTGAAAAGCCACGGCACCAGGCGAGGTGGGGCGAGGAGGTGGCGCGACGAGCGGCGACGCCTGGCGGGGCAGAGGTGGGCGGCGGAGGGCGTGCTGGCTCGGTGCCCGGGCGCCAGGCGTCGCGGCGGCCGGCCCCTTTCCCCGATCTCGATGCCCCAGGAGACCGTTTCGGACCCCGGGGGCCCTCCAAGCTGGCAAGGACGACCCCACACCTCCTCCTCCTCCTCCTCCTCCTCCTCCTCCTCCTCCTCCTCCTCCTCCTCCTCCTCCTCCTCCTCCTCCTCCTCTCCTGGCGTTCTCTCGTCTTCGACAGCGGTCCTCTCGTCCTGAGGTTCTGTTCTGACGGTGAGTATGGCGACCCCAGCCCCCGACTTGACGGGGTTGTCGACTGGACCTGGGATTTGGGGGCCCAACTCGGGGATGCACGACGGGGGGGCGCCCATCTTCGAGAGGGGTGGGGGGCACATCCCCGAGTTCTCCCTTCTCTGAGCGGCCAAAGTTTTTGGGAGGATCTCGGGAGTGGGGTGCGAGAAATCGCCTTCGTTGCTATGTCCCCGAGGCATCGAGGAGAGGTTCCGCAGCCTGCGTGTCTGGATGCACGTCCGTGCTCTCATTCCTGTCACTCCCTGCTCACCCAGCTGGCCACAGTTATCAGCCCTCATCCTTTACAAGATAAGGGTCAAGAGGGCAGAGAGGCATGAGAGACCAGGATCGAGAAAGGCATCAAACCTCCTCCTCCTCCTCAAGCTGTCTCTGAGGCTTCCGGGGGGGGTAGGAGGGGTTCCTCGAGGTCACGGCCAGACTCGCGCTGAAATCCTCGTCGGAACGCGCCTTGGACAAGCCCAGGGTCCCGACTCAGGAGCAGCGATCTCCAGCGCCACGGCAAGATCACGACGGCGCTTCTCCATGAGCTCGGCCTCCCGGGGCTCCAGATGCGTGCGATCTCGGCCCCGGGGAGCCAGCGAATAGCAGCCCGCGGCGACCGGGTAGCCAGCGAGTAGCAGGCCGCGGCGACCGCGGCGAACGAGGCAGGTCCAAGGCATGCGGTCCAGAGGAAGAAAAAACGACATGAACATCATTACACTTTCAACCGTCCGCGCAGATTCTGGATCTGCGCTGGACCCCCTGGCGGCGCCTCTGGCGTTGCCCCCGGCGCGCTCCGCGCGCCAGGAAGGGAGGTCCGGCGCGCGGACCGTCGAAAGTATACGTTGATGCCGTGTTCCTTCTTCGGGGATCTTCTGAACCGGGTCAATCCAGACCCGGGTCAGCCAGGCCTTGCAGGGTCCTGCAAGATCCTGCACCTAAGCCCGGGTCAATGCGAAGGATCCTGCGGGATCCTGCAGAACCCTGCGCCCACACCCGGGTCAATGCGACCCCAGCCCTGCAGGATCCTGCAAGATCTGGCGCTCTGGCGGACCCCCGTTTACATTGACCCCCGTCTCAAGGCTCCCGACTTCTTTCGGCGGTGGACAAACCTCCCTTTAGTAGACCTCCCCTTAGTGACAACGGCCTGGGACCGAAACCGACGGACCTGGGCCCGCAAAAGTGACGGCCGCGACGCCCTCTCGCGAACCGAAAACTGTCAATTCCTGAATCGACGTGTCTGGGTAGGAGGTCTGTCCACCCCCGCCATTTGAAGTTCCAAGCGAGAGTCTCATCGGGTTGTGCGCAGTCCGAAAAGGCCGGCTGCGTACGTCGGAAGAGGTGGCGGATGAGCAGGAGTAGAAGGAGGAGGATGATCAGGGAGGAGGAGGAGGAGGAGGAGGAGGAGGAGAAGGAGGAGTAGGAGGAGGAGGAGGAGGAGGAGGATGTCGACGTGCCCCTGTTGGGGGTTCTGTCCACCCCCGCTTCTCCAGCCGTCGGGAGCTCCGGGGCGCACGTCGTGAGCTGAAAGCCACGGCGCCGGAGGCCGGGGGCACCCCCACGGCGCGCCCGGTGGGCTTGCCGCGGGCGTGCGCTGCTCGAGCATAGGCCCTTGAAGGGGCCCCAGGGCACACAAATAAATACACACAAATAACAGGATTCCCCATATTTTCATATATTTTCTGGGGTTTCTGTCTTCCCCCCCACTTCCCATATTTTCCTATATTTTCTGGGAATCCTGTTTTTTCCCCTAATGAGGACGCGCGGTAAGGACGCAAGACCCTTGGAAGCCGAAGTTGGGATTTTTGGGGCGGCGGACGACGAAAGCCCCAAGGACGCACGAGCAAGGAGGAGCAAGGACGCAAGGGTGCCCTGAGCAAAGTCGCGCGTCCTTATCAGGGTTTTTGACTGTACGCCCTGGCAGGGGGCGGAGTGGAGGGGGCGGCCGCGGCTGGCACGGAGGTCAAGCGAACGACCCTGGCTCTGCATGGGGTAGCCATGACGTGCTTCGTGCTCGGTTTCCCTACATGTCGGACTTCACTGGACAGGGCACGCGAGAGGACACAGGACCCTTCCGAGGGTCACATTGCCACAGAAATGCAGGAGGCACGGGTCGCGAGACACAGGACACAGAGGTACCCTTGATTTGGCAGGGTCGACCTACTAATCCGGGCCGACTGTAGTGAATCGTTCGACCTTGAACGATCGCGGCTTTAGAATCTCGCCGATCCGTCGGCATCGGCCGACTCTGGGCCGCTGGCGGCGTTCAAGCTTGAACGCCTGAGCTGGCGTCGCCGCCGCGTCCACGTGTCGCAAACCTGCCGTATCCTGACCAGAGCTCTTGCTGCCATGCTTCGCCTTTGCGGAAGGTCGCAGGCTGGGGCGGGGAGCGAGGATGATAGATGACGAGGTAAAGGGGGTCGCGCGCGCGACAGGGATGGCGCCCGAGGCGCCGCCAGGGGGGTCCAGCGCTGATCCAAGAGATCCGCGCTGGCATCTGAAAAGTTGTGTTCTGTGCTGCTTGCACTTCGTGGGGCCACGTCTGCCAGCACACAATCACTTTTGGAACGAGCCGCTGGGGGTTGCCCATGATTTGAGCAGGGACCGACCGTCCCAGCATTCCTATAGTCCTACCACGAAATGTTCTTAGAACGCAAACATGTTCTGAGAACAAAAACAAGGTTCTTAGAACATAAACCCGGTGTGTGAAATCAAAACAGACTCCGCCAGAAATGTTCTAAGAACATTTCGTGGAAACCACAAGAGGGTTCTTAGAACATTGTTTGGACGGGCTATAGGCGAGCCAAGACGCTTCGCCACTGCTTGAATGATCGCTTGGTGCCACACCGGCTGCAACGCGCATGCCAGGTGCGAGCGAATCCTCCGAGCAGATCCAGACCTGCAGACGGGGTGACTCCAGCCACATGCCGCCGGCGCTGCATTGGACGCCCGAAATGGGTATGGAAAACGTGGGTACGATGCCCAACAACAAATGCTGTCCAACTCCGGCAGCGGCGGCTGCTGGGCAGGCGGCCTTCTGTCTCAAGTGGGCAACGACCGCGGCGGCGCCGACAAGGAGCCCTGTTCAGAATGAGCGAGAACTGCTGTTGGAATTCGTGCCTCTTGTCTCGGGTCGGGCGAAAAGGGGGGATAGCAAAGGGGGGGTTTGAGAATCAGCTCACGTAGCTGATTTTCCCGGCGCCTCCCGGCGCCCATGTATCGAGGAATGGTCCCCTCGGTCGGGCCGAAACCAGCTGCATGCAGCAGATTTCGTAACCCCCCCTTTCCCACCCCCCCCCTTTCGCCCGACCCGATTGTCTCCGTGCCCACCACGATCGTCCCGAACTGCTGCCGTGCTGCTGCTGCTGCGGGCTGGCTCGCCGCTGCTGTGCTGCTCGCGGCGGCCGCTGCTGCCCGCTGCTCCCCCCCCGCGCGGGGCCGCGCGCCTGGGCGGCGGCAGCGGCGCACCCGGCGGGAGGCCCCCCCTGGGCGGCGCGGGCATCGAAGGTGCCCTGCCGGAGTCGGCGGAGGGCGCGCGCGCGCGCGCTCGCGAGCGCCTCCGCCGCTCTCGCGGAGAGCGAGGGGAGCGCTGGATTTGCTGCGGGTTGTGGCCGGCCGCTCTCCCGTGCCTCGATTCCTCGCTTGCCCTCTGCGCTCCCTGGCCAGGCTTCGGGCTTCGGGCGGGGCGGGCGCCGGCCCGCCAATGCGGACGCTGAGAGCCTGCGCTCGGCGGCCTGCCTAAGAGAGGAGCGCTGCCCCAGCGGGCCCCCTCAACCTCCTCCTCCTCCTCCTCCTCCTCCCCCCCTGAGCCTCTGAGCCGTCTCGGCCGCTGGAGGTGGCCTTAGGATCGGGCCCCCTGCGGCGGCCAGGCGGGCCCGCTCGTGGGCCAGCGTCCGGCGGCCCCTTCGGCAGCCGGATTGGAATAGAGCCCGCTCGGCGGCTCCTTCGGTAGCCAAGTGGGCTCAGCCGTCGAATGGGCCCAGAAGGTCCTTGAAGTGCTCGGAGGTGCTGGGGTGCGCTCGAGCGAGAGCTGGGCCCCGAGAGGGGTGGATCCTCAGACCGCGTCGAGGCGAGCTCCACATCCTCGTCCTCGGACGACAACTCCGCAGTCACAGACTAGACCGCCGCTCCGAAGATGATCGGGGGTTGTGGGTGAACATTTTGGTCGTGATAGTGTTTTTTTTGTTTTACACAGGTATGTATGTATGTATGCATGCATGCATGCATGCATGCATGTATGTAAGTGTGTAAGTATGTAAGTAAGTAAGTAAGTATGTAAGTCAGTAATAAGTAAGAATGTATGAATGTATGTATGAATGTATGTATGTATGCATGTATGTATGTATGTATGCATGTAGGTATATATACTATACACGACGATTTCCCCCCCGAAGCGAGGCTTGGCTAGAGGAATTACACTGTCTACTGGATGGCCGCTTCACTACCCCACTTGTCGCAGCGATGCGGGTCACCGTGTTCGGGCCAGCGCGGGCCGCAGGCTAGCAGCTCATGCACCGACGCAGCGTGTGATTGATGATACGTTTTCAAACCAAGGCAAAAAGGGGCTCCTAAGAGCCAAGCGGCGGCGAGTGGCGTACGAACGTGCCATACACACACTATATATCACACCCGTGAAACTTTGTCACGAGCTAGCCGGTTGGCAGCCACTCTTAGGGGCTAGTAAAAGGGCGTCTCCAAACGAGACGCAGCGTAAGGCGGCCAGGGTGGCGACAGTAACATCACTTCCCCGTCGGGATAGTGTTCACTTTGGCTCTAGCCAGCTGTTTCTTCGCTTTCTTGATCGTTGACTCCGGGTCCGGGGTAGTATCGTAAGTACCAGTGGTCAATATGTTAACAAGGAAATCATTTGGCATAGCTTTAGTGAGGCAATCTACGGCCATGACACTCGTATCGATCCAACAGATCTTATCGCAGAACAACTTCGGGTGCAGGATTTCTACCTCTTCATCACCTCGTGTCCAAATGTCCTGACGGAGACTGCTCAGGTCAATACTCAAGCGCTTATCCTCCGTCTTTCCCATAGTAGGCGCTGTTAGGTGCTCTTCCAAACTCTTACAATCTGTCATCCAAAGATGTGTCATCGTCATGGCTGAAATCTCTTCCCAGTCTGAAGGGAGTTTATTAGCTACCCCAAGCATACCTCGCGCATCAGCGATGGCAGCACGTATACGCACACCTGATTCTACACCCCAGAGACAAGCTAACGTCTCTGCTTGTAAAGTAGATTTGCACACGCGCCTAATAACCTTGCTCGATAAACATATAGGGTGAACGTAATCATTGTTCCCCTCGACAAATCCCGGCCCTGCAAGTCCGTTGAACCTGGCCCTCTGGGATCTGAGCGGCTCCAAGTTGCCTCTTACAACATCGTCTTCTCCAGCCCAGCTGGCATCCGTAACGGTAAGAACGATCATGTCCTTGTCCCACAGCACGGCACCACCTTTAAACACAAGTCCGCTGTCCGACGTCTGTACTGCTTCTTCCAAGACGCGGTTGGCCTCCTTAAGGTGCAATACCTTCGCATGGGTCGCTGCCGTTTGCAGTCGACTCACGCGGTGGAGGAGCTCGGGCTTGCGTTGCCGACAAACCCAAGACAAGGCACCTACAACTGACCTAAGTTGGGATGTCTCTCCTTCGTTACAGCGCCTGGTGAGTGGGCTGTCCCTGGGATAGGATACAGCTTCTATATTTTCGATGTTGTCCTTGGCCATGACGTGGGCGGTATAGTCTTGATCTTGAGCAATTTCTAACCCGCAGTAGCGGACATCTCCTGACTTGACCTCTCTGATGTCGAACTCTGCCAGCACGGAGTCAATGATCCTCTGGCTCTCGTCGTCTGCGGCCCATAGTATGTCGTCCACATGTGTGCCTATCATACACGTAATCTCGTTCTTATCATTAGATAAACTGAAAAGGGCTGGCATGATACGGTTCTCTCTTCATCCGTGAACTTTAAAACGTTGTCGGATCTTCTTCCATAAACCTCTCCCAGCGTCACGCGTTCCATAAACAGGCATACGAGCTATAAGCGCCCCACCATCCGGTGCTCCTTCGAGCCCGTCGGGAGGTGGTTTTAATAACATGAGACGGTCGAGTTCTTGACCCTGAAAATAGGCTGATGTGATATCAGCGCATTTCAATGCCTTCTTCGTGCCTGCGGCCCACGATATTATCAGCCTTAAGCCTTCTAGCTCACATGCTGGTGAGTCCGTGCGGATGCCGAGAGATTCCTCGAGGTCTCCTCGTACCACAAGTCTGCTTTTGTATTGTGGCGCAACCTGTGGCCCACCCGGACTGCGTAAATGTTCGTTTTTATCTACCTCAATCCATTGCGTGGGAAGCATGCGATATCCCTCGTCGAGGAGCTTCTGCAGTTCTGAGGAATCAATGGTTACGGCAGCATTGAACCTTCGCCATTTTCCCCACTCGTCTTGTCTTGCGAGACGCAGTCCGCTCTTAACTTCCTCCGATTCCTTATGGAATGTAAGGTCTTAACGCTCTTCAGCTTCTTTCGAGATTGAGGCTTGCTGATCGCTCGCTCATTGAAGAAACCAACAAGTGACTCGTGTGATTTGACTGCCGCGGACGCAGTCCTCCTCTGGAGTAGATCTACGCCTGATCCTGTAGTCCCCGTTCTCTGCCATGCCTCGAGCAGCGGGTTCGCTGGCTCGGGTGCTGGTTCTGACACTGAGGCGGATCTCCTTTCTGAGGATGATCCTCCTGTGTCCAATCTCCTTCGCATCACTTCGCCGCGACCGCGTAGGTCGTGCGGCGCATCATCTAGCAAAGATCTCTGCAACGGGGTGCGCGGCGGTCTAGGCTCGGGTTGTTCGGCAGGGGAATCTTCAGCTTCTCCCTCGCCTCCGTCACTCATGTTCCCACCTGGTGCTACAGGTTGAGACTCTTCCATCGGCTCTGACATCTCTAATTCCGGCTCCTCATGGATGACTGGGAGTACGTCCTCTTGAGGTGCTCCAGGCTGGTCTGCACCAGGTAACTCTCTTCGTTCGTCGACAAACGACTGCTGCTGACCATCAGGAGGAGCGTATCGTTCCATACCTCCATCCTGGTGCCGGGAAAGATATTGATGTGCCAGAGCTTCAGCCGCTGTGCACGGTCTGAGCCTGTCAACCGCAACACACACCGGAACCCCCTCGGTGATGACCCATGCGTTCTTGCCGTCGAACCCTACGATCCTCGATCCAGTGCTCCATTTTGCAGTAACTTCTCCGTCGGTGGGCCTTTTGCGAAAGCACACCACATCTCCGACCTGGTACTCGCCCGCCAGAGGGGCTGCTTTACGAAGCATAGCACGCGCGGTCCTGCTACCAACGTCGTGCTCGGCGAATGCTTTCCTGGCAGTGGCGCGGATTGCAGATTGACGTGAGAACTCATCAGACCCATCTTCAGCCACGTTAGCCAATACACCCAGGTCGTATGCTTCTTCGTCGTCGAACTGACTCCCCGGCACACGGGGCAGCCGACCGAGTACCCACTGAGACGGCGAAAAACCGCCAACTCGGGACATCTCGTTCTTGGTGCTGTCGACCTCTACGGCTGTCGTCATAACTTCGTCGAGGCCAATAACGTTTGTCGTGAACCACTTTCTTAAACACGTTTTTCCATAGTCCGCCGTGTCTTTCGGTGCGTCCGATCTGCTCCGGGGATTCGACTCCTGCGTCGCGGAGATCGATCTCTTGACTCTTAACCCACTGTAAGAAGACACCTCTGTTATGTAACCCTCGATCCAACATGATCCTTTTAGGCTTTCCCGCCCAAGCACACCAGTGCTGCTGGAGAGCTGTGGGGCATGCCCGCGAAGACGGCATTCCACCACCTAGTCGAACGAATATGACCCGCTGGAACGTAGTTCCCTGGCAGACGATATTCAGGAAGCTGTGCCTTTCGCCGTTGTTGTCCTTCACCTCCAGAACATCGATCCCGATCTCGTAATTGAAACAGAACTTCTTGGGAAGCGCTACCTTGTGAGTCTGCGGAAACGGTTTGTGATGCTCACAAGACTCACAACGGTAAAGTTTGACTGCCTCAATATATTCGGACGACATCCTGGAAAGCTTCATAAGTTGGATCAGCACGCGATTCGGAACATGACCGAACTGCCTGTGGAGTCGCCGAATGGCGATCCTCACTCGGAGCGGAATCTTGAGCCAAGACTTCCTTCGCTCTCCTTCTAATTTCGGCTCTCCTGGGAGCGGCAGCTTCTCAAGGATTTCTTGCTCTTCATCCCTGAGGTCTTCCTGAGCGGTAACAGCCGCATCTTCGTCGTCGCTAGCTGCATCAAGGGTCGATCCTGCCATTTCCGCTGCGGCTTCAGCTGGACAGGCGGTGGCGGTAAGGCGGTCCAGGTTGACCTGGTGTCCAAGATCGCGTAAGAAGTCGAAAAAACCGCGAAGGTAACGCAGCGGAATTGTTGAGCGCATCGCTTCAGCCTGGCTCTGACTCCAGGAAGGAGTTCAGGGCGTTGGTAACCTCGAGGTTTGAGCATGTGGACTCCTGACCAAACGCAATTGCAACCGAACCATTGTTTTTCGTCGCTTCCTCCAAACAGTTACGGATGATGCTAATATTATCGGCGGTGGTGTTAGCAACGATGAGATCAGGATTGCACTCGATGATCTCCTTTTCCATGCCCTCGTCCCAGGCTGGACGAATTACCATATCCTCCGCGCGAGCGGTCCCCGCGAAAACGAAGCCAATGATGAAGCACAGCACCTTGCCCACAGAGTAACGGCACGTGAGAGGCGGCACGTTGAGCTCCATGTTGCCGATCGTGCCCTTCGTCAGGCACTGCGTGAGAATGGAGCCGTTCTTGTCCATCTCGGTCAGCCCGGCACAGTAGTGCTCGCGCTTCTTCCCATTCATTGTAGACATAAGATGCTCGTCCAACTTCAAAAAATTACACAGGCATGCTACACCATCATGTGTGATACGAGGCGGCTGAGCGAACGCGCAGATTCTGTCGAAGTCCAGGGCTGGCTTTGACGAGCCCATGGCCACGCGATCCTCGATCTGCTCCCACTTCTGAGACTCCTTGTTGCGACCGAGCGTGCTCTTGCGCCAATTGTCCCATGACTTCGGATGCTTGGTCTTCGTATCATAGGGATCAGACTTGACGTTGACTCGCACCATATTGCGACTATCCAAGTCCGAAGGCGCACCAGCTACACCCTGATCAGCAAAGGTAACGGGATCAACATACGTGATGAAGTTCCGCTTCTTGCCCGCATTGAACAATGTCTCCAGTTGCTTGCCGGCGACCTCCAGGGGCGCGAAGTCCACGACTGGGTCTCCGCTCTTGTCGTCGCCCGCTCGCAGGTCCCGGCCCTGGGATCCTACGCGAGCCGCGCCAGCAGGCGGCGGCGGTGGCGGCGGCAAGCGTACCACAGCCGGCGGTGGCTTGGGCGGCATCCCCGGCGGTGGCGTCTGAGGCGGTCGCGGTGTCAGCTTGGCGGCTCCGGGCGTGCTCGCCTCGGACCGGTACTTGGGAGTCGGCTCTAGCCGTGCCCGCTTGGCATCGGACTCGCTCTTGCCAGGGCGGCTCGGGCCTGCCGAGGACGACGCGGCTGAAGAGAAAGTAACTCCCGGCTGCTTCGGGTACGTGCCCGTCTTCTCATACTCAACCGCTTGCTGGACCATCTTCATGTAGTCAACAGGAACAAGACCATCCTCATGACAAATGCGTAAGTAGAACTGGAGCTCGCGACCTTCGTAGTCCTTCATCATCTTCCTGAACTCCTCGTCGTCGTAGTCCTGCCCCTTGCGCGTCTTCCAGATCGCGCGGATGTAGCCTCTGATCAGCTTCCCAACCGCGACATCGCCGACCTCGTCGTGAACGCTGGTGCGGGAGCGCTTCTCCTCGCGCAGCGTGAGTGTAGGGTCGGCCCAGAAGGGCAGGCGCTTGGTGGCTGGCCTCTGGCTCTGGTTAGCGGGCTGCTGGGCCATGCTGTGCTTGGTGAAGGCATCATAGATACGAGCTGTCATCTTACCCACGGCGTGCGCGGCCATGTCGGCGGCCCAGCTCTTCTTGTGGCGGCAATCTTCACAATTGCCACCGCAAGTCCGCTGATCCCACTCGTGATCGCACAGGTGACCCGACTTATATTCGATGCCATGATCTCGAAGGTATTGCTTCACCCCGTGCGCTACTGCTACTGAACGGTGTCTACCCGAACGACATATCAATATGATCGCGACGGATTCGGTGACCTTGCACTTCGCCAGCGCCATGCCGATGTATTCAGCGGTGTCTGGGAAGTGCTCGTTATCAGCTGCGGCCTTTAAGATACGAGGGTGAACTCCACTGTGCTTGGTGGACTGAGGATCGTTCAGCTCCCGAGTGTCAACAAATATGAGCCTATCGAAATCGCCAGGTTCTGGGCGTGCGGCTATCGAGGCTTCGCAGAGAATTTGACCATCATGCTCAGCCGTAGACATCCCATAACTCTTGCCACGGTGCTTGTCGCGGAGGTACTCCGCCAACAGCTGGCTCCCCGAGGCATCAGGATGACTCTCGAAGTTCTCTAGGCCCATCGTGTAGACAGCGAAAGACTTGGCGCATGGTCCTGTGCTGGGAGCAGCATCAGGCCTCTTGTCCTTGTGCAGACCCATGGCTGAGAACTTGCCGTGCTCGTCGTCGCTATGATCCAAAACGGTCTGACGCTGGGGGTCGGTATCGCCGATGTCCTCCATGTTGCTCTGGGCCTGATATGATATGTGCAAAGGGCGAATAGGCCCGGAAATCCGATCCGAAACGAACGGATCGAGACGAATGACAAGGAGACCTGAGCGGCTGCAGCGACACATCTCTATCTCGCCTTCCTGGTCCAGGATGGCGCGTCCGTTGGCGAGATCCTTGACGAGACCGAGGGAGACTTGTGCCGGTAGCGACAGCAAGAAAGGCACATGATCTGAATCCTTCAACTGATGAGACTCGAAGCAACCGCTGACAGCACCGCACGTGCCCACAATGCGATAGGGAAAACACTTCTTGCCCGTCGTGGAACTGCCAGCCTGACCACCAATGCCACTGTACGATTTCCGCTCTCTGTGGACCCATTGTGGAAAGAACCCTGGCTTCTCGTACTTGTCCTCTGCATTGAGGGCCCAAGCTTTTCCATGGCAACAAGAAATGCAACCTTCGTCCAGGGTAGCCCATGCACCATCATCCTTGAAGACGTCAACCAAACGAAGCTTTGATATCGCCGACGTGTCGGTCGTCACTGAAGGTGCTGGTGTTGGTGCCATGAACGCGATGAGCTCATTATCTGCTGCCCCTTGCACACAGTCGTGTAGTAATGGAACCATCTCACTTGTGCTGGTATCACCTGTGTCCTGACAGATCGACATAGCGCGCCTCGTGAACATCTTCATTACAACCTTCAGCTCTTTAGGAGATACACGGCGGTCGCCCTCGATGACCTTCTCGATCGCCTCCGCCTGGAGGTTAGAAGAGAGTTTGACCTTCTCCGCCGTGCTCTTCTTGTCCTCAGCGAGTGCACGGGGCTGTTCATCGATGTACGTCAAGCACTTGCAGCAGAACGTGCGATGAATGTCGGCAGTGCTACCCCGGTGGCCCACGAGATCGTGAGGACACTCATCCGGCTGATGTAGTGCCTCGTATCTCTCCTTCTTGGTCTTGTGACCGCAGTCCCTGCAGGTGCGGACGATAAAGCGTGCCGATGAACCAGACCCCGAGAAGCTGGTGCAACCGCGAGCACAGGGGTGAGGCAGCGGCGGATCCGGCGGCTTCCTGCTCGAAGTCCCGCTGGAGCTAGCCGAGGGCATGGCGCTCCCCTCGGTGCGGCGGCCGATGCTACCATCCTCCTTCTGGACAAAGTACTCATCGAACCAAACCAAGAAGTTCTTCAGCTCCAAACTCGGCTTCTTCGCACCGCGGCTCCACGATGCATATTCTGGGGTCATCTTCAGCACTCGGCCATAGGAAAGCCCACGATGCTGGCCTGTAGCGAACGCCGTATCGCGCCCTGGAACAGGGGCCAAATCTGGCGTCTCGAACTCCTCATCCGATACAGAAGCCATCGACAAGTTCTCTGGCCCGTCAGAGGCGTCGGTCGCCCTCGAGGCGGCGCCCGGGGCAGCAGCCCTCGAGGCCGAGGGTCTGCCTGGCGCGGCTTTGCTAGGCGCACGCAGGGCCATGAACCCGAAGTGCTCCTCGCCAGCCTCCGCTGAGGTCTGGGGGCTCTCCAGAGTCGCGGCCGCGCGCTCGCGCTCGGGGCTGGTTTGGGCCAAAGCAGCAGCGGTCCCCATGCAACCCCTGCACGTGTGCTCCTCTTCATGACCAGACAGCGAGCAACAATGACACGCGGAATCCTTTCCCTCGCAAGAACATGCCCTGCGACACTTCGAGGAGTGAGGGGAGGAGGAAGAGCAAAAGGACACCTTGCCCGAATGCGACATATTGCTACTATAAGTATGATGATGGATGGTGGATGATAAGGCAATGGTTCCTGTAGGCGCGAACTGATGATCGCCGCCTTCCTCGCGTAACTGAAGCTCTCGCTCTCCAGTGAACGCTACAAAGCCCGTCCTGGGTTTGCCCTTGCACTCGGGGTCCCCGGACCAGTGGCCAATATCATGGCAGGTCTTGAATTGGAACGTTTCTTGATCTCCTGGAGTCGCTTTTTAACGATCTTCCAGGGTCGGCGCTCCCTTGCCGCCGCCCTTGGGCGGCAGTGTAGTTCTCCAAGGTGTTGAGTTGTTGTGACCTTTGCCTTTGCTTTTACCTTTGCGACCTCCCTTGGTGCCTAGGTTGGCGACCAAGTTCTCTTGGATTACTTCGGAAGCTTCGTCCTCCGTGTAGCCCGCTTTGACCATCTCGTCAAACACGTCTCCATCGAGCTCGCTCTCCTCCTGCACGGGTGACCAGAGAGCGTGCGATTCCTCGTCGCCCCAAGTTTGGTCCTCCGTCTGCCCGTCTGCCATCCAGGCTATGTCGGTCCAGGTCGTGTCGTCCCAGCCGTACTCTGGAGTGTAGCCAGACGCGTAGTATCCACGGATAGTGCTCCTCCTGCTCGTACCAACCGTCGTCGGTGGCGTGAAAGGCCTGGGGCGGCCTGCTGTACCGGGTCTTGGCCTTGCCCTTGGTCCTGCTAGGGTAGCCAGGCCGATGCTGTGTCCACGACGAGGGGTTGGAGCCCTTACTCGACGGGTCTCCACCTTTGCCCTTTTGGCGGATGTGGATACGGCCGTGCTGGAGGATCAAGACATCCTTGATCTTGTCAAAGGTGGTTATGTTACCTGTGGATGTCAGCACCATCAGGTTTTCCGAGGGTGAAAGCCCTGCATGGTCCAAGAGGAGGGATCCAAGCATGTCGTCACTCAGCACAAGCTTCGGGTCCAACTTGGTGACGAGTTTCCACCAACGCTTCCTGCGGGAGATGTATGATACCATCGATTCACCGTTCTGCCTGGACAGAGGGCCGTAGAGCCTCTGACCTACCTGGAACAGGATCTTGGCTTCCTGAGCCTCTATAGGGAAGAGTGAAGCACGAATCGCCGTTATCAGCTGGTCGATTCCTTTGGGAGTCAGAAGCGCGTCCTTACCGATATCCATGGCCACATCGAACGCGTCGCCTCTGAGGCCTTCTACAACTTTGTTGACGGCTGCAGTGACAACATGTGTTTGGGGTTCTCCTGTCGCTGCATCTACAGCAGACAAAGCAGCACTCATACGCATCTCTGTGCGGAACTCCAATTCGTGAAAGTTGTTCACGGTGCCATCATAGATGTAGGAGCCACCCTTCGTCTCCGACTGAGTCAACGCGTCGGCGTTCGACCGATAGCGAAGGGAAGACAGCGCCATGGCGGCAAGGAAGCAATCCCCTCGTAAGGGTGGATGCCCAGTGCAAAGAAAAGGTGAGGAGCTCTCCTCGCGAGAGGACGAGCCCTGCGCAGTGGTACGATGCCGAAGATCGTGTAGCAGCTCCGCTGCCAGTGTGATTGATGCTACGTTTTCAAGCCAAGGCAAAAAGGGGCCCCTAAGAGCCAAGCGGCGGCGAGTGGCGTACGAGCGTGCCATACACACACTATATATCACACAGCGTGAAAGGCAAAAGAACGGCCGCGGAGGAGGACAATGCAGGAGGAGACACGCTCGGACCATGATGACCTCCACGCGCGGCGAAGGCGGCCTCGAGCTCCTGATACGAGTCGGAGCTTCCTCACCACACACTACATGTGCCCTGAGGAGGTGTACCTCCCGTGTGCGTCCCGCGCGCCTCCCATGAGCCTCGCGAGCGTGCCAGCCCGCTTCTGGTGCTCTTCGAACTGCCCGCGGTGTTCGCGAGCCTGCTCGCTCCCAGCGCACCTTGGGATGCCAACGCTGTCGGCAGGAAACCACGTGCCGGCTGGCTTCCAATGACTTTCGCGTTGCCAGCGTCGATGAAACATCGTTGCCACGAAGCTCACTCCGAGCGTGCCAGCTCTTGTCCGGCAGCAGGGCGGGTTGAAAGTAATTTCGGCGGCAGGTTCACTTCGAGCGTGCCGCCTCGCGTGAGGCGCACATTGCGCTGCCAAAGTTGTTCCCACGAAGGCCATTCCGAGCGCGCCAGCTCGCGCCGGCGCGCATGGCGTTGCCAGCGCTTGTTGGCAAGTTCGCTCCAAGCATGCCAGCTTGCATCCAGCGCATACATCGCTTTGTCAGCGTTGTGGGCAGGAGGCTCGCTTCGAGCGCGTCAACTTGCGTCCGTTGCCAGCGTTGCTGCCAGAAAGCTGACCCTGAGCATGATGGCTGGCGTCCAGGGCAACATCGGGCTGCCAGCGTTGCGGCCAGCGCGGCTGTCTAGAAACCCGCTCCAGGCGCATCCGATCGCGTTCAACGCATATCGAGCTGCAATCGCTGTCGGCACGGGAGTCTTCGTCCGAGCGTGCCAGCTCGCACCCCTCACACGTCGCGCTGCCAACGTTGCTACTGGGAATCTCACGCCAGTCTTTCTGGGAGAAACACGGCGACCCGATGACAGTGCAGATGGCAATCGATGAAAGGCACCGTTCAGCTGCGAAAGCGTGAAACCGCCGACGACAGGGGGGCCCCAGGCCAGCCACAGCTGGAGGAGGAGGAGGAGGAGGAGGAGGAGGAGGAGGAGGAGGAGGAGGAGGAGAAGGAGGAGGAGGAGGAGGAGGGCGAAGGAGGAGGAGGAGGAGGAGGAGGAGGAGGAGAGGACGAGGCGAGGAGGACGAGGGCGAGGAGGACGAGGGGCGAGGGGGACGAGGAGGAGGAGGAAGGAGGAGGAGGAGGTGGAGGAGGAGGAGGAGGAGGAGGAGGAGGAGGAGGACCAAAAAGGCGCCGACGACGAGCAGGAGAAGCTGTGGGCCGCACTGCCCGCGCTGCTGCGCGGGCAGCTGGCTCCGAGCGCGTCGGCTCGTGCGCGGGGCAGCTCGCGCGGCCCGCGACGCCAGCCAAGAAGCTGCTGCTCCGAGCGCGCCGGCTCGCGCCCGGCGCACCTCGTGCTGCCAGCGTTGTCGGCAGGGAGCTCGCTCCGAGCAGGCTCAGATCGTGCGCTCACTGCCGCAGAACCAATCTGGTGCAATTCTGCTGAAACTGAAGGGGAACTGGGATACACAAATAAATACACACAAATAAAACTATTCCCCATATTTTCCAATATTTTCTGGGTTTTTGTCTTCCCCCCCCATTTCCCATATTTCCCCATATTTTCTGGGAATCGCCG